CTCTCTCTCCCTCCCTTCCACTCTCTCTGAAAAGCAATGGAAAAAATATCCTCGGGTGAGGATTGAAAATAAAAATAAAAAATTAAGTTTTGAAGGATCTGATACCCTTGGAAGTAGAGGAAGTATTATCATTAAATGTTATATAAACTCTTAGGGGAAAATAAAAGTGAAATTACTTCAAGTTCACCTCATGACTCAGTGCAGAGCCCAGTTAAGAATCAAAGGCTTTCAACTCCCAACCCTGAACTTTACGCAAACAATTTATTGGCAAAATCAGATGGTACGTTTTGAATATACGAATTGATGTTGAAAGAAAGAAGATTCTAGATACAGGGATAGAATGCTACTCTTCTGTTCCCATGTTACCCCCCACCCCAAACTGTCAGAGCAATCTTCATGGGGTCTCTTGTTCCTTGAGCTAAAACGTAATGAGTCCCATGAGCATACTCCAGAACATCTGTAGGCGCTGCTATTATCCCAAGGTTGAAAGAGCTATCAAATATCTCCTTAGACTCTCTTTATACCCACAGCTAATACAAAATGTGCCCCACCCCTGGAGTCAGACACAGCCAAGGCTGAGTCCTGGCAAGGCGCTTTCCTCGCTTGTTGCCATCTATAAAATGAAAGCTGGGACTAGATATTCTCTAAAGCCGATCTCAGTGTTAAGATCCCATGAGTCTACAATTGTGTTTATTATTATAAGTCACAACAGCTACTACTTAACAGTTATCTAATTACTCGCTTTCTAGGCTCTTTTTAAATTCTTTATTCTGAACTTTACTGTCAAAACATATGAAGAAATTCTATAACTCTATGTACCAAATTTGCTTAAAGAAAAAATATTTTAATACCAATTTTTAAAAGACCTATTTTTTTTTAGTATTAAAATATAGGTCAGACTATGTTTAAAATATGCAATAAGTCTCTAATAATGATTTTAAGACCAAAGTTTCCTATAATTAGTTACAAAAATATGGTAAAGAACTGAACCAAAATAAAACCAAATAAACCAGCTACTAAACTACACACATGTCCTTAAAATCTTATGGGAGTCAAATATTCCAGTAAAAATAACAGAAGAGATGGAAACACAAGTTTCTTATTATCACACTTCATATGTTATAAAACATAACAGCTAACTTATTTTTGGCAAAATGATTAGGGATTGCAACACTCTGGCTTATACAAACTTATTTGATTGTCAAATGCATCTTAAATGGAGCGTGTCATGCTAACTTCAGGCATGCAGGCACTGGGCCGTCTCAGAGTAGCCTAGAGACACTGAAATTTCAACACTTCAGCAGGGATCATACCACCAAAATTAACTGGGCCAGGTGCTTAAAGAGGGGCGGGGGGACTTCAACAATGTAGTTAATTGAAACCAGATAAAACTTTTGAATAATAAAAAAAAATCATACAGATGTTCACCCTCCTCCCAGGTGACCTTTATGGACAATCTATTGCACACGTTATTTTTAAAAATACACCCTTTTTAGGAAAACACAGTTCACGTGTCTCTCTGAAAACTATAATCACAATGTGGGTCATGTGTCCACAAACAGCCTCGATTAAGCTTGTGTTTCATCTTCCTTTTCCCTTTTCACCGCTATTCCTGTAAGGGCAAGAACACCTGAAAGTAAAGCAATACCTAGAAAGTTCTAAAGCTGAAGAAATCACAAGAAACGACACCAGCCTTAAGAGGCATTGTATGTCTGTCCTAACAGACACTGTGAATGCAAGCCCAGAGAGGCGGGTTCAGAACAAATGTGTTGAACAACTCTTCTCACAGACGCATGAGAAAGCTACACATCACATGCAGAAAGGATGTGCAGCAAAGCCCCAAGAGCAGATCTGTGATTAAGTTAATAAATTGAAGGATACAGAAGTCAATATTTTCTTCCCAATGCTTACACAACAGTGTACTCCTCAGGGTTCTCCAGAGCAACAGAAGCAACAGGAGATACATGGAGACCTATCAGACACATGGAGACCTATCAGACACATGGAGACCTACCAGACACGTAGAGACCTATCAGATACATGGACACCTATCAGATACATGGAGACCTATCAGACACATGGAGACCTATCAGATACATGGAGACCTATCAGATACATGGAGACCTACCAGACACATGGAGATCTATCAGACACATGGACACCTATCAGATACATGGAGACCTATCAGACACATGGAGACCTATCAGATACATGGAGACCTATCAGACACATGGAGACTTAGCGCAGGAATTGGCTCATGCAATTATGGAGGCCAAGAAGTCCCACAATATGCCACATGGAAGCTGAGAAGCAGGGGAGCCAGTGGTATAATCAGTGGGAGGCCACAGGCTTCAGAACTGGGGCTGCCACTTGGTGTGAGTCTGAAAGCTTGAGAATCCAGAGATCCAATGTCCTAGGGCAGGAGAAGGGGGGTGTCCCAGCTCAAGAAATGAGGGAGAAAGAATTCACCCTTCCTCAGAATTTTTGTTCTATTTGGGCCTCAAAGGATTGCATGATGCCAGACCCCAATGCTGAGGACAGATCTTCTGTTCTCAGTCTACTGGTTCAAATGCTCATCTCTCCTGGACACATCCTCAAGGACACACTCAGAAGTAATGCTCTACCAACTACCTGGCTGTCCCTCACCCCAGTCAGGTTGACACAAAAAATTAGCCATCACAGACAGTAATGCTTATTATTATTTCAAATATGCAAGTACTCTTTTTAAAAAATGTTTTTAAAGCTTTTAAAACACCTGGAACAACTAATAACCAAAATTATGTTTCATATCAGTTTGTTACATTTTATTAGACAGGACCAAGTGAATTCCTATACTGGGAAATAAAAAGTCCGTGTGTGTGTGTTTGTGTGTGTATCTACATGCTGGATTGTACACACAAGTAAAATCCTAACTGCCAGAGTGGTGGGATAGGCACCTTCTGACATGCCCTCCTTCCCCCTACCCAGTGATCCTCACCTTCTAATATTCATGCTCTAGTGTAATCCGCTCCTCTTCAGTGGGGGCTGGACCTAGTGATTTCCTTCTAACAAACAGAATACTGTAACAGTAATGGGATTAACATTTCTGTAATCGGGTTACAGTTGGACTCCCATCTTGCCAGCAGACTTCTCTGGCTCTTCTCCCACACTCACTCTCATGAGACAAGTTAGAAAGGCTCACTCGTTAAGGAACTGACAATGTCCTCCACCCAGCTGCCAGGGATGAACCGAGACCCTCCGTGCAACAACCTATGAGGAATTGAATCCTGCCAACAACCATGCGAATGAGCTTGTAAGCAGCTCCTTCTCAATTAAATTTTTTTTTTTTTAAAAATATATCTTTATTGATTTCAGAGAGAGGAAAGGAGAGGGAGAGAGATAGAAACATCAATGATGAGAGAGTCATTGATCGAGCCCACAACCCGGGCATGTGCCCTGACCGGGAATCCAACCCCGATTGCCTGGGTCCTAGGTCGACGCTCAACCGCTGAGCCACGCCCGGCCAGGCTCAATTCAAATTTTCAGATAAGACCTTTTGATTAAAGTCTTACGATAGACCCTGAAGCAGAGGACCTAGCTAAGTCGTGGCCAGATCCCAGATGCACAAAAACTGTGAGAGAAGAAATGTGGATTGCTTTATGCTGTGACGTTCTGGAGCAGTTTGTCACACAGCCGTAGGTAACTAACACAGTAGTTAACCTAATGACTGAGGCAATGATTCCACTGCCATTTCCATAAAATAGTCACCAATACCTTTGGCAAATTTTTAACTTCTAGGCACCATTTTTAATTCTTTATATCATTCCTCAAAAAATTCCTTCAAAGAACATATTACTATCCCCATCTTACAAATGAAGAAACAAGGTACAGAGAGACTCAATAACTTATCCAAAGTCACACTGACAAAATATGACAGAGCAAGTATTTGAACCTAGGCGTCGTGCCTCTAGTGCCAGGGCCCACAGCAACTGTGCAAACAGAACCACCAATTCGCAGGGCTTGCAAAGATGGTAACCTCATAATACGATACTAGAGGCGAGTGAGAAGGCAGAGATGAGAAGCCATGCGAATGAAGGAATCACTTCCTCTCCTGCATTCAGGTGAGCAGGCTCAACGGAACATCTTCACGCTCCCACACATCCTGGAGTTACTTAGTAGTTATCACACCTAAGGCTTAGTCTGTTCTCCTTCTAGACTTCAGACTCTTACCTCAAAGACTCTCCTATTCATTGGGATGTCCTCAAAGCACAGCACAGGGCCTGACATATAGCAAGTATTTAACATGTGTGTTGAAGAAATAATTTATATTGTGAATCGCATCCATTCAATGGGTTATCTCAATGGTATGTGTTAGAGTATAAGGTTTTGCTTTGCTTTGAAGTCTCTTGTAGTTCACTACCTTTCCTGGGCACTTTAAATAGGTCTTTGTGTTTCCAGTGTTTCTGGCAGATAGTGGCACCTAATAAGTATTTCTGAATGAATGAATGAATGAGTGTCTCAAAAAGCCTGCAACTCTACAGAACTGATAAGAAATCATACTTAGGACTAAATGAAGATTTCATGTTCCATAAAGAGAGTTGTTTGCCTATCAATGATGATAAATTTTCTTCCTTCTAAAAGGAAGCATAAGCATTTGCAAAATACTCTCCCAATAAAGATAGATTATTGTTTAGGTCTTACCTAGTGGTTGCCCTTAAATATTCTTTTACAAAAGACAACAATTTATATGTAACTTAAGAATTCCAGATAACCCTAGAATAAAAGGCATTTGGTTGGAAAATTCCTAGCTTTTTCAGCGTTATTTTTTGAAACATTATGAAAACTGCATGAACACACGCTTACACAGGCCCACAGTAATATGAAATAAAGGATAAGGCAGCTTCCATGTATCCTCTCTGTTTCAATTGTCAATTAAATAAGAGCGACCAGAACAAAGGAAAGCTGAGGGGGATTTGTCCAAGTGCACCACTAGGAACCCACACCTCCTGTGGCATACTTACTGGGAGCTCAGGGGCATGCTTCAAGATCTGAAGAGAAATGTAGCAGCCTATTGAATGACCAATGACCACCAGCTTGGTTTCCTTTGGCACATGAGTTCTCAGGAAAGCTATTTTGTGTTCTACTTGACCATGGAGTCCATAGATGTCCTTAATTTCTTGAGCTTTTGGATCTAAAACCAAAGATATGAGCATGTTTTTATTTAACAAGTGAAAGTAATAATTTCATTGGGAAAATATTTTTAAAATAACAGCAATAATAATAGTAGCTATCATTTATTTAAATCCTACAATGTGTTAGCTATAGTGTTAGGCACTAAATTATATCAGCCAATCCTCACAACAACCCTGGAAAGGAAGTATTAGTATGTTCATTTCATAGAAGCTCACAGACATTAGGTGGTAGAATGACAGTCACATGAAGAGGGGGAGACTAAAACTCAGGTCTCTCTGTCCTCAATGCCCATAAACTTTCAAATATTTCATGAACTACAACTGTTGGCTTAGGTAAGTGGTTCTCTGACTTGGGCATGCACTAGAACCCTCTGCAGGGTTTGTTATAACACTGATGGCTGGGCCCCACCACCAGAGCCCCTGATTTAATAGGTCTGGGCTGGAGCCTGAGAATCTGCATTTCCAAGTTTCCAGATGTTGATGTTGTTGGCCCTAGGACCACACATTGAGAACCACTGGTTAGACTAATTTATATGATCATAAACAATGAAGAAAATCCATGACACTGCTTCATTATTTAGTCTTTGTTTGTTTGAAGAACTCAGGCAGAAAGTTAAGCGGAAATGCTGTAAGCTGTTTCTTTTAACCAGCACGGTCCTGATCTGAATCATGCCCTCTTCCTTTCACAAATGAACTGACTTCCAGATTCTTCAAGGCTAATTAAAACTTTACCTAGCTAATCTTCAAGAAAAATAAACAAGCCTTCCTCTGTGTTTAACCAGTGCTCCACTCCTACTACAGTCCTTTCCCATACTCGTACGGTTGTCTGTTTATTTCCTCTCCCAGGCTGTGAGCTCCTTGAAGGTGAGGCCTATCTTTTCATTTCTGTGTCCTCTGTGACGAGCACACAGTAAATATTATCAGAGTGAGAACACGAACTGACAAGGCCAGCTCTGCGGATGCTGCCAGCTCTGATATTCTATAAATATGTAACACTTCAAAGGTTTTCCCTGTGAACGAATATACAACCCCAATGTCAGAGCGTAGTACTTCAAAATAGCACAAGGGACTCAATTGCTTCCTAAAATCTGCATCGCTGGAATACTAAATTTCTTGCCTTCACGACTCCTGCAAGGTGCTCATGTAAACTACACTGAGCCCCAATGTGGCCTATTCGAAAGGTGCCCAGGACTCATTAGGAAAGGCTGCTGTTCCATCTGACCTGTACCTGCTGTTTTCATTTCCTTCAGTGCTCACCAATCCTCCCTTGTTAGTTTAGATAACTCCTCTTCGGCCTTCAAATTCTCGGCAAGTGTCACCTCCTCTGGGAAGCCTGTTTACTATTCAGCAGGTAAGGAGTAAAGCGGCCTTCCTCTCGGCTTCCACAGCATCCTGCGCCTATCTGACCACAGCACTCCTGACTTGCTCCTACTGTACAATTCAGCTTGCCTATCTCTGTTCCCCAATCCTGGCATGCAAGTCATTGGAGAGTTTTTCCTACTGAATCGACGAGGGTTAGCTCCCTACTTCTGTGGCACTACTGACCTCCCAGGTAAGACATATTCTGCCCTAATCCTCTGCCCAAGTCAGACCAGAACGCATTCTCCATTTAACAAGGAAGCTCAGCATAAAACAGAATCAAGAAGAGATAGAATCTGGAAATCTGACTTTGGTAGGACTCCTGATGAATCCATATCCAAATGTTTATTTAATATCATTTTTAAGTTTGAGTAGATTATACTCCCCTACTCTCAGTGCACCTTCTCTGATTATCCACAAGTGATCATACTGCCTTCTGATACCCCAAACCCAACACCTACAATGTTTGCAACCCAAGGTCTTTCTTTTTCACAGTACACAATGTTTAAAAATGACAGTCTTCCTTTCATTGGGACCGTATGTGATAGAACTAGAAACAGGATACAAAAAAGATGGCACTTTTTCTGTATTGCTTTATTTCATTTATTTTAATTAACAAAAATATGCAATTATGGCAGAGTGTTAATGATCAAAAGAGCAATGAATAACAGAATCTTAGACTGTTATACAAAAAAATTTTAAATTAAGAATGCTCTGACATGCTGTTCCTAGCTATCCTACATCAATTTTATAGGGAAAACCACGACTCACTTCTCCATTTCTCCCAATGGAACACAAAAGTTCCTAAGGACGTTATCTAGGCTCATGCAAGCAGAGGATGAGAACTGTCCCCAATTCTTCATGCTTACTTAATTCACCAATGCAAAGGTCTTTTTTTCACAACTGCCCCGGTTCACTAAGCTGATGAAAAAGTACACTCTCATAGTTTAGGCCTCAACTCCCTACGTATTTTGTAAGCTCCTGTATCTAAACATTGGTGGGACTCTGTTTGCCTTCAAGGTATGCCACACAGAGAGGGGGTGGCAAGTAGGCACTCTATTTTAAACTGCTACCTTACTTAAAATACAAACAAAAAACTTTGTAAACTCCAAACATGTCTTATAGAATAGTTTTTAATTGTTACTCTCCTCACAGATGGTGAAATCCAGGGTAATCATATTATGCTCTCCACTTGACTAAAGCTAAAGATCTGGAATCTCACCAGGGAAAAGATGGGGGCTGGGAGAGAGAGAGAGAGTGGGAGACTGATTTAGCAAGGAGAACCTAATGTTAGAGACTTAGCAAATAATAAAAGCAAAAGGCAGAGTGTGAGGTGTGAATCTGGACAAGCTATGATGTCCATGGCTGTCGGTGGCTATGGGGAGAGGTGGAACAAATCAGGTTAGAAAGGAAGGCAGAGACTAGACCAAGGAGGACACTGAACATCACCCAGGAGTGGGGACCCCACTGTGTGAGCCGTGAGAAGCTATCTAAGGATCAGGAAGGGAGGGGCTGCAATCTGGTCTCTGTCATAGGGGTAATACTTCTCTCCCTAGTCCTGCTGTGCTTCTTCCTTCTGTCTTCCCCGGGGCTCTAACAATTTGCTGGATTTAACTTCTTTCCATGCTCTGCCCTTTGTTGTACTGACTCCTCCCACATACTTAGAGACCTCCTTGTTTATTTCCAGTGCCGCAGCCCTGAGACTTGTCTGATCATCCCTCCTTGGGCTCATCTAGTCATTCCATGTAATTTACCTCCAAGTTCCTCTGCCAACACAGTCCTGGCCAGAGAGAAAGCTCTGCTGGGCTCTCTCAGTTCTGGGTACTGGAATTGGAGTGGTTTAACGTATCTTTGGATAAGCATGACCCAAATTCATCGTTAGTTGAAAGAGTGTGTAACATTTTTAGATACTGTTTTATCAGCTGAAACTAAACCACTATGATTTCCAGCTTTTATGTTATACTTTTTGAACAAATGACTTAAAATAGTTGATAATGAATCTGCCATCAAGGAAGCTGACTCTATAGTAAATCAAAGCCAGAAAGAGTTTATACTTCTAATTCGTCAAATTTTCTTTTCACACTTTTTTTCTGAATCACCCCCTTCTGACATTGGTGAACATCTGTTCTCCCAATTATACTCAATTTATGACCGTGATAATGTGGTGCAACGAGAATATTATTTCCAACTGTTCATAATTGTAACATGTGCTAATATGAAGTAAGCATATTTTTAACACTTGATGTGTGGTTACAGCCCATGTCCTTTCTCTCGATGATTACATATTTTTCACACCGTATTTTGCACGTTAGAAAACCTGTACTTTAGAATAATAATCTTGGGTGACGAGTAATATATCTGTCCTGCCGATCCAAAGCAATCTACTCTAGCATGCACTTGCAAACATAACCTCCGACATGTGAAACAGGTGAGAGGAGAACTGTTCGGGTGAATGGGGGTGCTAGGGTGGCCCAGAGCCCCGCCTGCCCTTCACAGAACATTTGGGCCACTCAGAACACAGATGGAAAGTCACTAACCTCACAGGTGCCACCTCTGTTTCTTTGTGGACCTCTGCAGCTCTACACATAACAACCTAGTAGGTTGTCAATGAACCCTTGATGATGATGAGTTGCCCTTTCACCCCCTCTAGAAACCAGTTTCCTTTGGCCCAGTGGTGGCCCTTTGGGCTAATGCCTCTAGATGGCACTGTTCTCATTAGGTAGCAAAAGACCCAGGCTCTAATTACTAAGTTATTACCTCAATAGTACACAAGCAGCCCAAGAAATAAGCATACTTAAAATAAAGTTATAAATAACAAGATGTCAATTTAAAACACGAATTAAAGACAATTCCCAGAAATTCAGGCACACAATAGGCACTTTCTACTGGCTTTCCTCACCAGCATTTACTGGTAAAGGCCTATGGCAGTGGTTCTGAAAATGTGGTCCCAGGGCCAGCAGCATCCACATTACCTGGGAACTTGTTTGCCCCCCACATCAACACAATCAACACCTCATGGGGGAGTGCCCAGTATCTGTGTTTTAATAAATCGCCTCCAGGGGATTCTGCCCCATGCTCAAGTCAGAGGGCGCCTGATCTAGGGCTGCCCTTCAAGAGTCCATTTTCAGCTTTCAAAGTTGCTATCCGTGTTCTGCTCAAATGCCTGCTTTACTGGACCTAAAATTTTTCTTTGGGCATATATGAAAAAATAACTTAAAACCATAAAAATGCATCTTTTAAAATATTTCACAGCAGAGCAAGTATTTGCTATACAACATTTTATTCCCTTTCACTCACATTTCAATATGATGGTTGTTGAAGCAGAATCGAGGCAAGAACAGAATATTCAGCTTCATGTCACCACTGCTATTAAAATCATTCACTGTTAGGTAATCAATATTTACTTACTGTTCAGAGTACACTCTAATCTTTAAGAAAGGGTAAAAAGTCTCATAAGTTGTATTCATAGAAGGACACACACACACAGGTAAAAAGAGAGAAAAAGACACTCTGAAAGGGGTCCTTTCAGGTGTTTATGAAGCATTTGCAATGAGTTCACTGTTTCATCTATACTCCATCTACCCTGTCCCCCTTGAGTCACAGCAGGAAAAGGGTCAAAGGCTAGGGTATATCCTGATCTAACCTAAGAATTAGCTCAGAGCACCTAAACCCGAAAGCTCTGTCTCATTAGCACTTAGCACAGCCAACTGAGATGACCCACTGACAGCACGAGAGCACTTGCTGAATTAAATGTTAAAGGANCGAAAGCTCTGTCTCATTAGCACTTAGCACAGCCAACTGAGATGACCCACCGACAGCACGAGAGAGAGCACTTGCTGAATTAAATGTTAAAGGGCTGGCTTCTTGTTGAGGTTCTGCCACCACTAGCAGGAGATCACTTAGTCCTGCTGGGTCTTCCCTTCCTTGAAAAATAAGGGTTTAAGGTGGGTTCTGATGTAGACAAACTTTTAGGTCCAAGATTCTATAATTCTTTTTTCTTTCTGTAACACTTTTTTTTTTTTTCAATTTTGGAAACTTTCCAACATACACAAAAGTACTAAAGGGTAGTATAATTAACCCCATGTACCCATTGTCCACTTACTAAAATTATTTTTTTTCTTTTTCCAGCTTTCTAGAAGTATGATTGACAAATAAATATTATATATATTTAGGCTGTACAAGTGATTGTTTTTAAAGGTGTACAATGTGACAATTTAATAGACATATACACTGTGAAACGATTACCACAATCCCATTGATTAATACATCCATTGCCTCACAAAGAGTAGTGTAAGTGCCTGACAAGGCTTTAATTAACGAGGACTTCATTTCCAAAGACATCCATCTTGAATAAACATACAGCCAGCTGCACGTCACAGCTACTAGCAAATGACCAGATAAAGAACTAGGCTGCCCTACCCATGAAAGTCCCCACTCCTCAAAATCTCTTGAAACCCCTTCCTGGTCTCTTCTTTGTTTGGTCCTTAAGTGCCCACGTGATGAGCAGGCCTGTTTATCACTTAATCTTTCTCTAAAAGTGAGACTGAGAGATTCTTTAGAGTAAGGACCATGGTTTATAATACCTTTTCTCCACCNTAGAGTAAGGACCGTGGTTTATAATACCTTTTCTCCACTATTCCTCTTGGTACAACCCTGGAAATGTAGTGCATGACCAGTAAATATAGAGTTGATTACTAGTTGGTAAATAGAGAAGGAAAGTCCTAGACAAATTGTTTAATCTGCCCAAAGTTTCAGAGAAAATTACCTGTAGAAGAATGAAAATGAATCTAAAAGTCCTAAAATTACCAAAATGTGGCATGCTGGGCCCAATGCCACAAGCAGAGGTTTCCTCTGGAGTAGTGTAACTCTAACATCAGTGGGCCTTCTAGAAAATGATCACACGCCCACAGTAGAGGAAAGATGTTAATAAAGACATACCATCCGAGGCTGCAAGAATCTTCTTGCCTTTGGGGGCCAGAACATGCCCAGCATGACTGATAAGCCAAATTGGAAAGCGTCTGTTTATTGAGGTGTATAAAGCCTTTGCAAATGGCACATAAAAGGCACAAAATCCTGGGTTACCTGAGAAAGAAGCACAGACCTTCGATTAACCAAAGCGATAAACTAACACGAGATATGCAGAATGGAAAAGGATTTTTCTCAACAAATACAGTAACATTTACACATACACCTCAATTTTAATATCCTTTGTACCTTAAGTCTGGGAATGATCACTTAGAAAATTTCCATTCCTTTGTTCTCCAACCGTTTCAAATAAATTCTTCCTCCCCGTTCCTCAACTTAATAAATGAAACCAGCAATCACAACCCCAGTGCTCTAGTCCTAACACCAGGAGTCATTCTTGGTTTCTCCTTGTTTTCACATCCAGTTCACCAGTAAGTCATGTCGACTTTGCATCCAAATACATTTAGACTTCGTCTATGTCTCTCCGTTCTTATCACTTTCAATTGGGTTTCCTGAACAGCCTTCTAAAGGGGTATTCTATCTTGTCCCCCTGAAATCCATTCTTTAGACTACCCAGAGGAATCATGGAACCTCAAATCAAACCATAGCAGTACCCTACTTAACCACCTTTCGGTGGCTTCCCATTGCCATCCGAATAGTCTAAAATCATTAACACTGCCTGTAGGTCCCTTCAAGATTTGACTATGCACAGCTGCTAAACTGCATGAAAACTAATTAGTATAAGAATCGTTCACAAACAGAACTTTAAGGAGGCTACTAGGTGTTTCCTTGTCATTTATCACAAGTATTTATATTGTAAACAGATATATAGTTTGATCTTTTGGGGAAAAGAGCACCAGGTAATATAAATGGATTATTCTTGTGTATGTACAGAGGTATTTTTGACATGGGTTTGCTATAGAGAATGAATAAATGGTCTTTTTAAAAGCGGAAATCTGATACATCCTTGGGGGGAAAAGACGGTAAAATGGAGTTTTCATCTCGGGATCATCATCTGTATGTTTTCATAGATACTAGTCCATTTCCATCAATATCTATTTCTCCAATCAATTTATCTGTTCTTTATCCTATTAGGATTTCTCCTCTTTGCTCTTACGTGACATGGTTTTGCTGCACCGATTTCTTCTTCATTGTCTATCTTTTAGTTTCCTAGATGGGTAACGTAGCAAAGTGGATTAGGGCACAGACTCTGGAGCCAGGCTGCCTGGGTTGGAATCCCAACTTTGCCACTTACTAAGTGTCTGACCCTTGGCAAGTTATTTAACCTTTCTGAGCCTTGGTTTCCTTGTCCATAAAATGAGGATGATAATTGTACTATCCCATGTGAGAACTAAGTGAATTAATATATGTAAGGTACTTAAAAACTGCTCAATACATAAGTGTGTATAAATGTTAGCTATTCACACCTGTCATCACTGTCTAGCCACGACGATAATATATGATGGCCTTGTAAGCCATGCTGTTATTTTGCTTCTGACCCGATGACCCTAGTTCAAATTTTTTTGTGATGGTGCTGGTATCATTTTTGTTAAATAGGACAAAAACTTCCTCAGATGCAATAATATACTCTTTGCTCAGCTGACTGGCCCGTGCAGCTGGAGGAGAAAGGAGGGAGGGGGGGTGCATCAGGATGGGGCTGCTGCACACATGGTGCATGTGGCGGACACTGTTCCATGTTTTATATTTAAATCTTCAGTGAGTGTGGAATATTTGTGAGTATAAAGTACAAAGTAGCAATCCAACTGCTTTCCGAGTAATGAGCCAAGTGTCCCAAGTCCATTTATTATATAATCATTCTTTCTGCATTGACTTGAAATGTCTTCTGATCCAATAGTGAATTTTTACATTAGCTTGCTAATTCTGATTCCAAATAATTCCACTAATTTTTTTCCTTCTCTCCTCGCCAGCACCATACTGTCTCAATTACTACACTGTGTTTTTAAGGTAGGGCAAATCCCTTCTCTTTATTTTTCCCCCCTAAGTTTTCTAGGCTGGTCTCATAACCTTTGGAATTATTTTCACTAGTTTCATTTTTAAAAAATCTCTTTGGAATTCAGATTAAAATTTCATCTTATTTATACATGAATTTAGAAAGATTTGATATTTTTTTACATTACTGATTATAACCTCAGAGTGTGGTATGTCTCATATTCAAATGTTTTATGTTTCTCAGCAAAGCTCTATAGTTTTCTTAATATGCCTAGAAAATAATAACAGTCAACATTTTTAAGTGGTATAACTTATTACACGACAGGCAGTATTTAAGTGCTTTACATGTATTAACTCACTGTCTTCACATGAGGTAGTACTATGATTATTTGCACTTTATGGATGAAGAAACTGAAGTACAGAGAGGTTAAGTAACCTGCCCAAGGTCACACAAATGATAAGCGCTCAAAAATATTTGATGACTGAAAGAATATACAAAAGAAAATATTAACACTGAATTTAAAAAAGAACATAAATTACCCGGTCTAGGGTATTTTGTATACCCTGTTTTAGTTACTCTTACAGCTCTATAAAGTATTTGGCATTTTTTTATCATAAGGGATAATAAATGGACAGCCACTTGCACAATACTGGGCACACAGTAGGTGCTGAATAAATGGTAGCTATTATTACCATAATTATTATCTTTTTAAAATTTTTTATTGAATAAATTTGACATGTAACATTCTGTAAGTTTAAGGTGTACAGCATGTTAAAGCTGGTCTAACATTAAGGAGAATACAAAGTTAGCAATTACATAATTTAGATGCAATAGTTACAATGACAGGATATATAAAACCAATGAGTACCAGATAATGGAGCTGCTATAAAACAATATTCTTTTAGTTATCAATTATTTATTGATCACTTACTATGTGGAAGTCACTGTGTTAGGCACAAGATAGAGAAGGGCCTCTTTGTAATTCATCTTCTAGTGGGAGGATACATACACATAACTAAATAAGTAAATAATGTAATTCAAGGGTATGATAATTGCTATGAAAGAAATAGGATCATGTGATAGAGAAGGAAAGAGATTAGGGTGGCTTGAGAAAAATGTCTGAGAAGGTGGCATTTAGCTAAGACCCAAACGATGAGAAGAAATCAACCCTATAAGGATCTGAGAGAAAAGCATACTAGGACGGGAGAGGAACAGGTGCAAAGGCCCCTGACAAAAAGCTTGGCTCTTGAGGAAACAGAGAGTCCACAATGGCCGATAACAGGACGATCCAACTTATAGCCAATGTGGACAATGTAATGCAAACTGTTTAAATGTTACTGCATACTTCATCACTTAACTGTTACGGCTTATGTTATGCTTTATGAACCATGAACTAAACTTCCTGGCTAGGAAACCACAAAGAAAATTAAAAGAGTCTTGTTTACACAACCAAAATCATCTATATACACATATACATACATACATACATACATACATATATATATATATATATATATATACACACACACATATATATATATCTCTCTCCAGGTGTAGGGATGCTTGAAAACATTCCAATACAGTAATACAAGTAAAATATTTTATCAAAGGATATCAAAATGTTATAAACACACACTTGAACATACAGTCAAACACCTGAGCAATATCTAACAGAGGCTGTGGTGATCACCTCTAGAATCCAATTGCCAATAAAATCCTAACTATTCAACACTGCAATCACACACTTAATGCCTTCCAGTTAATCTTGCAGGGCACAAAAACTTCCATATTTCAAGTTAATGTAGCACTGCATTTATATGGAAGGTTGTCACATGGACAGGATTTTGGGCTTGTCCTTGGAGCCTTCTGTTCCATTTCCAATCAGTGAATTCACAACGTAAGACAGGTCACATGGTTCTATTATCCCCATATGAGATTTATAATGATCCAATACGTCTACAGTGAATTCTCAAATTGCCTTCCTTAGCTCATTTCACTACTTAAAGAAAGTCCGAGGATACTACTGCTTAACAGGAATTCTGCAACAAAGGTTCACTGGAAAAGATGAAACTAAATTAAAAGTTCTTCAAACCGTGGATTCACTCCTCATTACTGTCGCTAATTTTAAAGTGATGAATTAATTTTCCTAGCTGCAAAAGCAAAGTAACTTAAAATGAAATGTTAAGTCAGTCTATCAGAGATGGATTAAACACAATGTCTATAGTGGTTTAACAATCCTTGAAATACTGTCACCCTAATTTTACTCACAGTATAGAGACTAGGCCCCAAAATAAAATAAAAAAACAATTCTGAATCCCACAAACTGCTGAGTAGTCCCAGACTATAGCTCCCGTCAACACCAAGGAAAAGGGCCAAGGGCAGATGAGAACAGAAGGGAAAGAACACTAGGACACTAACTGTGACTATAAAACAGCAAATGTTTTCAGCTTCCCTTTCTCCAGTTCCTAAACCTGGCTCTCCCCTGTGATGGACTCTTCCTTTCAAGCCTCTGCAATGGAGATGTCACTATTTCTCCAACACCTCATATACCTCAGTGAGAGCAAGGACTTTTGCGACAGTGTTCTTAGCACCCAGTATAAGTGAGTGAGTGACGAATGCCTCTGAGTAGGAAGCAGAGTGAGCTGTCTGCTCCACTTGCCAGTTCATAAGACTGAAGCCATCTACTTCCAGCTATCAACTCTGTAGTCATTCTCACACATTCCCTGAAAACCTTGACCCTTAAATTATGGTTTCACTTGCCATTCCATGACCAAGGTGATTTCAAAATCTGGGTGGAATGACTGAGCCAACACCTTTTCCCGTAACTGAAATAATTCCGAAAGCCGCACCCTCAATCAGTGGTGTGCATCTCAGTCCCATCAGGCTGGTTAAACACACACTGCCCTACTCCCAGAATTTCTGGTTCAGAAGGTCTGGGATGGGGGCCAAGACCTTGCATTTCTAACAAGTTTGCAGATGATACTGCTGGCCCTGACACCAAGTTTAAGGACCACAGGCCTAGAGCTTTTTATCACCCAGGAATGGTTATCGTTCAAAGCGCCCCGACTCAGAGAGCTCTCCCGCTTCACCCTCTTTACTCTTAGACCTCACTCCCAAACACCTGCGACCCGCTCACAGCGCTGCTCAAAAGCCGCCCACTTGCTTTTGGTCGGTAATTCCTTTCACGCTGCATATCTGCTATTCTCAATGCTGACCAGTTTCCTCAAAGTCCCAACCCACCCTCTGCCATCTTTCCCATCAACAGACCCCCAACTCTCAATCAACAGAAAACAGAGGTCAGGAGGCAGGAACTACTTTGAAAACTCCCTCTACCCTTCTCCATTGGAGTAACCAATTCACCTCCTTTATTTTAGCCTCAGGAGGAGATCCCTCCTCCAGCCCAGGTAATGTTTCTACTTATTTTCTCAATCCTGTATTCAACCATGGCTCCAAATTTCTGCACCATCAAGTAGGACTTGTCATGCCTATAATTTCAAACTCTCCCTCACTACTGGCAGAGCATATGTATTTTTAATTTCAATAGATACCAACAGACTGCTCTCCAAAAAGACTGTTACATCGTGGCAGAAGACTGGATGTTTACTTCCTGAAGAGGTTTAACTGAAGAGAGATGTGGGATCAGGACCCTTCGCTCAGCTGAGAACAGAAGCGCTAGACTGCAAAGATGTTAGGTTACATGTTACTAAACACTGAGATTCTCCATCTCCTTTCCCTGCTCAGCAAGAACATTAGCAGACAGGCTTCCCCAACTCCTCAAACAGGATACTGGGAGAGTTCTTCCTGGGAACACTGAACAATCCAAGAAACAGCTGCAGATATTGAAAGCTGGAAATTTTCCACTGAAATGCTGGGTTATGCTATAACATATATTTATAGTTTCATTTTTAATATTTAAGGGTGATACATATACAAATATCTTCAATTTACTTACAATTCAAAAAGTGCTTTGAATACCTACAATTGAGCATTTATCTCTAACATTCTACTGACTGTGATCCAGCAAAAGCCACAAATGACCCAGTTGCCAAATCCCAGAATAAGTAAACATTCTAGAGTAAACTTATAATCATCTTGAAATGAGACAAAAAGTTATTTACAAAACTGAAAAAAATTTGACAAAGTTCTAATTATTCCAAAAATTATAAAATTTAAAAACATTACAAAATTATATGTATACTTACAATTGTGATATATATGTAATAAACATAATACACACACACATATATACATATACATACATATATACACACATACATTTATTGTGTAGAAGGAAAAATAGCCCAGCCACCCAACTACTATAGGTGGTTGTTATCAATGGTTTGAGTGATTTTATTTCCTTCCATAAGGCTTTTCATATTTACCAAATTCTCTTTGAGATCAGAAATAGTTCTAAGTATCTATATTGTTTCTTCGTCCAGATTTCTCAACTTACCAGTAATAATGAAAATGAGCAGCTCAGGCCTGTTGGCACTTTGATCATTAAAGAGGTCAGTCCAGGGCCCACATTTTATAACCTGGGTTTCAACTCCACAACACAAAATGAATTCCTCATGCACAGGAATTTCTTCCTTGACTTCTGAATGCATCTCTAAGTGAGGGAAGAAAAACAGTATCAAGAGTCACTCAAATGTAAAACCCTGAGCCAAAGACAATATTCAAGAATAAAAAGGGCAGATTTCAACATACCCAGAAGGAATGTCACAGGAGATGCGGGAGACAGGTGACTATTTGGCTACTATGGATTAAAGGATTGCAAAAAAAATAAAAATAAAAAATAAAAAAATTTAAGGCAAACCACAAGAGGAGGGAGAAACAGGGAGACAAGTCCTTGGTGAAATAAAACGCTACAGAGGAGTGTGGATCTGAATCAGTTTAGCCTTTGGTACACTTCTCCCCTCCAGTCTAAACTGGCAATACCCGTGGATAACTGCCACTTTCCCTCTTAGGCTACGAGATTGGCGAGACAACTGCCTGGCGTTCGCCTGATAAAGAAACACAGAGGTTACGGCCTGCCTCTTGACCCTCCCAGACAGAACTATAAAGAAGGTCAGTGAACCTGATGATCTCTCTGCTTCCCTCTGTTAATCCTCTCATCCCAAATTCTGTAAGCATACTGTACGCACTATTCGAGCACCGCATTATTAGGTTATAAAATGGGTAGGTGGCAAACAACAGGAGATAACATCATGAGCGGTTTCCTGAATCCTCGAGGTGTGTGGAAAAACGCAGTCCCAGTGCTCTGCATCACTCCCCTCCCTCTGCTCTGCCCTCCTGATGTTCGTCAACACAACGGACCATGCCTTAGATGTTCAGCAGTCTCTGTCCTCTTCGGCTGCCCTCCACTCAAAGTCCTCCAGAGTCCAAGTGCCCAGGCCCTTAGAGCCTTTGCTCCACTGACTGCTCCTCACCGACCTTGCACTCTAGTCTGTCTCGTCCTTGCACTTCCTCAGTGTCCTCATGCTTTTCTGCTCCTGTAGCTTTGCTAATCTTTTATTCCTCAGCTACTTCTGGAATACTTCCCCTGCTTGTGCTGATTATCAATTTATTGCCTTGGCTCCAAATTCACTCTTTCTTGCCTTTTCTGCAAAAATGAATCTGAGCCTTTTAAATGTTTCTCCTCTGCCAGCTGACATAATGTTAAGCTTTGTCAGAAGAGTGCCCTAAAGACACTACAGAGGAAGGGGCTTTCTTTCCTGATTGCCTGTATCTCGCAGATTTACGGAGGACTTGCTCCCCATGCCACCTCTGCTCCTCAGGCTGTGAAGTCTCTCTAGTGCAGTGATTTCCAACTGGGGACAATGGTGCCCCCAGAAGACATATGGTGATACCTGGAAACAGTTTTCATGGCCACAACTGGTGGAGGGGGTACTACTCGCATCTAGTGGATAGAGGCCAGGGATGCTGCTGACCATCCCACAGTGCACAGGACAGCCCCCCACAATAAAGAATCATCCGGGCCCACAACAGTGCTGAGGTTAGGAAAACTTGCTCTAGTGCTAGGTGCCTATAGGCTACAGCTTTCTCCAGCATTTGCCGGGATGCTACATACATGCTTCCCTTTCTCCAGCTCTCTACTCAGGCAACAACAGCAATGCAGCAGGAGTCTGAGAAGGAGGCTTGTGCCCAGGCCAGGTGGCCACTCCCTGCACCCTCTCCTCAGCCCATAGCACATGCTGGAAGCACTGCCAAGCTGGCTTTCTAAAGAGCCAGTCACCTACCTTTATCCCACATGGCAGTCTGTAACTTGCCCAGCAGGGCTCTAGGTTGCTGCAGAGGAAGGCCTTGCCAAATCCCCACTGTGGCAGTATCCACAGCAGTGCCCTAAATTCCTCTGTACCTGCCTCCTGCCTCCACTCTTGCGCCCGAGGTTTATCACTGTGCTCCTTCCAACTCAGACACCGCACTCTCCAGGCCTCTCATTTGCAGCAGCACCTTGACTGACTGTACACTCCCCACCAGTGTTTGTTACCTGCTGGCAAAGTCCCTGTGGACCAGCTCTGGCCCAGGCAACTCGTCAGACTTCTCTATCATCCAATGGGCCGCAACCACACCTTCTTCAATGAGATCTAAACCCACCTTCCAGTTTGTCCCTCCTGGTGTACTTTCTCTCAGCCCTAGGGTACCATTTAGAGTTCTCTTTATACAGTGACTTTATAGTTTCTCTCCTACCATAGCTTAATAATTCTCTTTTAATTAAATTTTTTGGGGTGACATTGGTTAATAAAATTACACAGGTTTCAAGTATACAACTCTATAATACATCACCTGTATACTGTATCATGTGTTCACCACCCAAAGTTAAGCCTCCTTCCTTCAGCACTTACCCCCTTTCCCCCTCTTGTACCTTAAACTCACCACTTAAGTTATTATGTGTTTTCTGTCTTCTCGCTGGATCTAGACTGATACATTCCCATGGGCCTATCCAAGTATTTCTCTTCAAATCTTTCCCATCTTAGACTCACCTAAAATCCTACTTCCTACTTGAGGTCTTCCCTGAGCACCCCAAGTAAGGAAATCTCTTTCTCTAAACTCACAGATCCTATCTTTATCACAAGTCGGCAATGGTAAGGTAGCCAGGTAAGCTTTCCCTAGCAATCGAGACACTTGTTTATTCACATCATGCCACACTCTTAGCACAACAGTCAAGAATTCACTGCAACACCGCCGACCCCTCCCCTGATTGAACACTTTACGGTAAATGCAATGGTGGCTAGGATGTAGTGAAACAGAAGATCCTATACATGGGTGGTAATAAAGAAAACGACCTTTAGAAAGCAACCTGGCAGAATAGGACAATATCCATAAGGCATAAACTTTGATTCAGTAATTTTGGGAAATCAATTCTAAACAGGAAATATAAATTTTTAAAAAAAGAATAAATGCATAGAATGCTATTATAACACTGAAGAATCTCAATGATCATTAATGGAAGAATGGTTAGGTACATTTTTATAAATCATTACATAGCCACTAAAAATGATATATATGACTCGACATTAAGGGAATGATTAATTATAGTTCGATCTTATCATCAACTATTATGTTCCATCAAAACTGCTCAGCTCTGCTAAATTGGTTATAATTTATCCACCTGCTTTCTAACATTTCTAAAATCTCACTTTTCTAGTCTGATGTTATATTGTCTCTTCCATTTGCTTCATTTATGCCTTTATTACTTTTACTGTCATTTTAGTGGACTTAGGAAGGGAGAAGAAATAAGCATGTATGTTTCAACCTCCATGTGTAACCAAAAGTTCAAAACTGATTTTCTTAAATAAAATTACTTAGAAAAAAAAAATTCTCACTAAGAAAGTGGGGACTCCTTTTCATTCAAAATATAGTGACTGACTAAATGAACATATCATCTCACCTTTTCTTACGGATTGAATTTTAGTTCACTAGAAAATGTCACTGTAGCCCAATCTCTAAAACTATCACAAAACACAGTATAATTATGAGGGTCCTATGACATTTATAAAGTTAGAAACAATATTTGATTTAGCTGTTATACACAGTATTAAATTAGAAAACTGACAGACACTGACTAAACTTAATACTTGCACCCAGAGAGAATCAAAGTTATTAACTATATTATTCAACTAAAAAACACTTAACTTCAAGTAAATGACATCTTAGGCATTTGAAAAGCCACAAAATTAATGAGAAATCCAGTAGATATGAAACTTAAACACGGTCTAGAAAAACTGGAAAACAAAAAAGTAACTACAAATTCTAAAACACCTCAATTAAAAACAACAGAGAAACATGGAGTGAACGTATATATTTATACAGTATCTTTTTATTTAACTTCACTCTTATGCTTCTGAGTGCCACAGAGCCAAATAAAAAAGGAAAGGAAAACAAAGTGTGAGAATTCAAATTATTCCTTACCTCAGGACCCAAGGGAACTCAGTTCTCCACACAAGTGTCAGATGAACTAAGGACAGCGTGTTATAACATGTGCTGTTGACGGCCAATGACCCACCTTCAGCCACAGCAAGCAAGCAAGCTTTAGGGAAATCCGTCCTGATAGGCAGCAAGGCTGAGGCTGGACAGAGACCAAGTGCAGATGTACTTTGTGTAACTTACGCAAGCCTCACCTACCTGCCTAAATACAGGTGTTCATGTGCTTATATTAATGGATTTCTAATTTTACTTAGTAAAATAATTTCTTTCCAGTTCTATCTTATACAAACCACTCTCTCTAAAAATCAATCAATCAATCAATCAATCAATCAATCAATAAAAAGAATAAGAACACACAAGGACATAGAAAGGATATAAAATGATATACCATATAAATAGTAATCAAAGGAGAGATGGGGCAGCCATGCTGAAATCCGATTTAGAAAGTAACCTTTAAAGGAAGAAGGATATGAGAGATAAACAGAGACACTTCATAGTGACAGGAAATCAATCCATCGGGCACCGTAACAATTCTAACTGAGCACGCACCCCTTATAATTTAGAATCCAAAGACACAAATTAGAAACTGATGGAAGCAAAATAACTAAATAAAACCATCATCTACAGTGGAAGATTTAACACACCTCTTAGTATCTGATGGGATAAGCAAAGAAAAAATATCAACAAAAATACGGAAAATCTGAGCAACAAAATCAAAACCATCTTGTTTAAAAAATCAACCCTATGATGCTACAGCCTGACTTGTCTGCTGCCCTACAGAGCGCCACTGCTCTTCCAGTCCCCTAACTCAGGAGCTCCCGTGACAGCTCCTGCTGTGTTCTGGGGGCACATCCACAGCAAGATGAAATACGCCAGCAAAAGAGCAAAAAGGAACAATCAGAAATAGGCATGAACTAAGTAAGATATATAAAGCCATGTAAGCCGGAAGGAAATGTTTCAAGAGTTAGGGGCTGGTAATGAAAAATTTAAAATATATAAATGTCAAAAAGAGCAAGAGAACTGAGGCAATAGTGAGAACTCGCATTTTAAGAGTACTTTCTATAATACAGGCATGGTGCTAAACACATTATAAATATTGTATCATTTAACCCTCACAGCAGTTCTATGAGACAGGTACTATTACCTCTAACCCAACAAAACTTGTGAGAAGCTTGATTGAAAGACACTGCCTGAGGTCACTTAAGTAGTAAGCTGGAATGTGGTAGAGCCAGAATTTGAACGCAGATGTCTGAATGAGGTCATGTTCTTTGTTTTAAAATTTTCATTTAAATGGATAAATAAGATATAACATGCTAGAATTTTTAAATGGTTATTTTAATCTTTTGTGTGCCTCATCTCTACCTCTCCTCACTTCCATGCATATCACTCTAAACCCACATTATTAACTCAGTATAGAGTCTTCCATATTTTCCTATAATCACATACAAAGATACATAAGAATTTATATACATTTTCATATATATGAGTTGTCAGTGTTTGAGAAATAGGGGCATATTATACACACTTCTACGCAGTTATTTTTATACTTAATAACACATAAAAATCCTGCCAAGTCAAATAGTATAACTCTAAGTCACTATTTTTAATGGTTGTTGCATAATGTGGATACACCAAAATTCATATGGCCATCTCCCTGTTGACAGGCACTTAGTTCTCAGTGTTTTGGAACAATGTTCCAATAAGTACTCTTAAATCCCCATGTTCTTACATATATCCATATATAACACTTCTTTTGTTTCTAATGGCCAGATTCCCAAGTGTGGAATTACTGGGTTGAATTTTAATAGGCGTTGCCAGATTGCTTTCCACAAGCAGTGTAAGAATCACATTTCCTGTAGCAATCTAGCAAGGTATCTTTCCCTACAATTCTATCATCAATAAGCAGCAGTAGTATTTTTAATTCTTAGTGTTCACGTATAAACTCTTTCTTTAATTTGCATTTCTCTGACTACTAGTATATTTGAACATCTTTTCATGCTTGCTGGTCTTCTGGACTTTCTTTTCTGTGGATTATCTACTCATATCCTTTCCCTGGGTTGTGTGTGTGGGGTGTGTGTGTGTGTCATTCTTTGAATGCTTATCGTGTGTAAACCACTATTCTAAATGCAGATGAATTATGTGTTGACAAAACAGCCTTATCCAGTGGATAGGACTGTACTATTTTACAGATGAGAAAAACTGAGGCACAGACTACTTCAGTAACATACCAAGATGCACCATAAGGGGCAGAGGCAACAGAAAGCCTCAACGGTTTCCCCAGAATGCTGCACTCTAAACCCAAGGGAGCAAGCCGCGTTTTTGACCTTGGCGCCATAGAGAATTATTAAAGCCACTGCTGCTGAACCTCACGGGTGTGGTTAGGGTGTCAAGTTCAGAGACTGGCCCAATAGTCCATTTCCAAGGTGGCCTGGTGTGACATTTAGGAGAGGTGTGGGGAGCAGGCTGATCCTTCTGAGAACCCTGGGTCCAAACCAAACGCTTCACGACTCCGCTGCTGGACAAGTGGGGAAGCGGAGGCCCACGGGGGCAGACTGACTGGTCCGGGGCTAGTGAGAGGCCGAAGCGGTGAAAGAACTCAGCTCTCTGGAGTCCCGGCTCAGACACGACCTCCTGGTCACCGCGTCCCGGGCAGTGGCCCGACGTCCTGGCCCCTGCTCCCCAGAGGGGCCAAAACAGGGTCCCCCTGCGGACGGCATTGAAGTACGAGGTCAGAGCGTTCGTAAACGGCACGGCCCCGCGCTCGGAGGAGCGGCTGCGGGCGCAGCAGCCGAGGC